TCCAGAGAGAGATATATCATATTACCCCTGTACAAATCATTAGTAACACCTCATCTGGAATATGCAGTTCAGTTTTGGGCACCAATTCACAGAAAGAACACTGGGGAACTGGAGAAAGTACAGACAAGGGCAACCTAACTTGTAAGAGTGATGGAGGAGATCAGCTATGAGGAAAGCTTAGAGGAACTGAATTTATTCTCTCTTGAGAAGAGGAGATGAAGGGGGGATATGATCAACATGTAAAAATACAACAGTGGTTCAAATAGTGTAGAGTTACTCACCCTAAGGTCATTACAGAGGACGAGGGGACACTCTTTACGTCTGGAGGAAAAGAAATTTAATCTCCAAACACAGAAAGGTTTCTTCACAGTAAGAGCTGTGAAAATGTGAAACAGACTTCCTCAAGAGTTGGTTCTGGCCAGCTCCGTGGATTGCTTTAAAAAAGGCCTGGATTCTTTCCTAGATACACAGAATATAACTGGATACTAACATTTATAGGTAAAGTTGATCCAGGGAATATCCGATTTTTTTTTTAATGGTTGAACTGGATGGACTTTTGTCTTTTTTCAGCCAGACTAACTATGTAACTATGGCTAACTATGTATATGTAACTGTACCCGAATGAAATTGTTATAATTTTTTTGAGAAAAATAGACCTATCTTTTGGTGGTATTTAATCACCACTGTCTTTTTAACTTGTTATATAAATTAAAAAATAACAAAAATTCAGGAACAAAAACACATTTTTCTCTGTTTCTGTTATAACATTTGCAAATAAATAATCTTTCTTTATAAATTTAGGCCAAAATGTATTCTGCCACATTTCTTTGGTAAACATAACCCAAATCAATGTATATTATTTAGTCTTTGTGAAAGTTATAGAGTTTACAAGCTATGATACATATATATGAACATTGATCAATCCAGATGTAGATGGCCTATCTCATTTCCCGAGGCCCTAAAATGCCAGGACAATACAAATACCTCCCAAATGTCCCCTTTTTGGAAAAATAGACACCAGAAGGGATTCAGCAAGAGGCATAGTGAATTTATAATTTTTTTTTTTCCACAATATTTTTGAAAAAATGAAAAAAGTATATACTTTTGTTTTTTTCTCACAAAATTGTCATTTTTACAAGATATTTCTCACACACGGCAACAGCATACTTGCATTTACATCCCAACATTCTGCTACTCCTCCCAGTTAAGGGTCCAATTGGGACATCAAGAGATGTTTACAGTCCACTGGGACACCAACAGATGCTGGCAGTCCACTAGGGACAGGGACAGAAGTTGATGTTGCAGTGGGACACACTATTGCAGATGTTGTTGTGCACTGGGACATTATTGCAGATGATGCTTGGTGCACTGGTGATAAATAACTGCACTGTGTGGGATCAGTGTGTAACTGCACAGTAAAATCAGTAGTTACACACAGATCTCTGACAGGCAGCACAGATCTGCTCACTCCCGTTCTCTGTGTGAGAAGAAGGAGAGCCAGTTCAGAGACACTTGTTTCTGTTTACCTTGTGTGAAGGACACAGCCATCACATGATCAGGAGGGCCAAACAGAAGCAGATCTCCCAATCTGTGATCTGCTGTGTCCAAGAGACAGAGCCATAACAGGATTGCGTGCCGCTGCGTGGCTCGAAGGAGTGGGAGGATGTATGGGCACGTCCTCCCAGATTGGCGCTTGTCCCGTTCTCCTGTTTATGTGAAGTGGTCGGATGAGAAGCAGTTAAGCTTGCTGGAATTGGCATAGGGACACCTTGGACACCTTCAGCTGCCATTGTGCTTTGCTGGGCTTCTAGTGTGTCCCTGTGTCTTTAGGGAGGAATGGGCTGCCTCCAGGCATACCTGCCCTTAATGTATCTATTGTTATATTATGGAGATTTTCATAGACTAGAGTTACAAGGCAGTGCTGCTTCCACATATATTTGCAAATGCATTGCAACTAAAATATCTGTTTAAAAAAATTGGGACATTTTTTTCCTGAAATGGAAGACAGAATGAAATACATATTTCTAATGTCAATCATCTGGTAAGCAATAATATAGCCAAAGAAGTTAGAAATCAAATAATCAGGATGTATAGATTATTCTTTCAGACTAGTAGTAGAAGATAATTTGTTATTTTTGCTTTGTTTCAAAGCGGATTTTCAGTAACACTACTCTCCCTATTATGTCAAGACTAATTGCAGGCTTACTAACAGAAAACTGATTGTGACTCTGTAAAGAGGTTGCTGTAACATTTAGTGGTTGTTGTGGATCCCTGCATAAATGTTGGGTAGTCCCATTCACCTTTTGGTAAGGGAGCATGTACAGTGGCTTTTTGCAGCTAACCTCCTTTTCTTCCCAGTGCAAGGCAATATGAATGCAAACGCATGGCTGGTTTAGTAACCTGAAATTAAACCTGTGCTTTGCTAATGCAAAGCACAATGGTTCACATAAAGTCCATCCACCCCCCCTTACATATGCTCACCTCCCTTTCACTTCTCCACCATTCCATTAGACTGCCTGGAACAAAGGGAAATAACTATCTTCCAGGTATGAGGATCCTGTGACTCTGTTCCCTTTCTTACAAAAAGCAGCGCAGGGTGCTGCATTGTTAACTACAAAGCACCAGCACTGACATGCAGGAGCTTACACAGGGCTTGTTATCCTCACCCCAGTGGGTAAATGGAGCTACATGGCAGGGAAGTTAAGTATGCAGTGTGTAATGGGAATGGGAAGGGGGGTGTAAGAAGGCTCTCTCTTTTGTTAATCCTGGCCCCACACCAAGGGGCCTTTTGGAACCCATTGAACATGAAGGGTTTTGGTTGTTGATCCATTGCACCTGCTGTGAAACTCTTTATCATCTTATGTTCACAGGGCCACCAGGAACTCACACTGGTCTCCTGCCCAAATCATACTGCATGCCCTTTGGGATGTACTAATCCTTACACAGATGAGGCATATTACACATCTGATGTAATGTAATGTCCAGCCAATGCTTGCTTTTTTTTAAGCTAATGGCGTAACAGTTATCCAAATAGAAGGTCGCATTATCCTGAATAAAAGGGTTGGCTGCCAGTATTATGCATGTCTGCTCTCACAGTCTATCACCCTGAGGTATATTTCACATGCCCAAGCTGGGACCCACAGAGAGAAAAACACATGGCTATACCATCATAAAAGAGAGTACTCCATTGCTATCTCTTCCGATGCACCCTCCTCCCTAGCAGTTCCTCTCCCATTTTATTTATCCTAGTGAGGGAGATGATGTCAAGACCAAACTGGCTGGAGACCACCCTGAAAAGGTCTCTAAATGCCTCTTACTCAATGAAGTAAACCTATTGCTTTTCTCTTCATGGGCAAAGGAAAGGTTTCTCTTTTAGTATATTATTAACATTGGGTTAGAGGAACTTTTTTAGCTTAATTTAATTCTAATCATAGGAAAAGGGATTAACAAATTAGTCCCAGGAGTATGCTGGGGTGGATGTCACCTGAGGCACCTGGTTTTCCACATGGACATTCTGGTTTAAGTTTCACCCTTGGTTCAGCTTGCCTCTTGGTAGGAACACCCTTGATTAGCCCACCCTTCTATAAATACAACAGTTTAACCACAATGACAGTTCAAGAATCTGAATCTTTAGAATCTTCATGCATCCAAAAGTTAATTTATTGCTACCATAAATCACACGTGCCATTTGGACTGGGATTTGTGATAGACAAGACCTATGAAAAAGAGACCTATGGAGAAGAGACCTATCAAAAGACACCAAAGATTATTTATTAGGACTTCTGTCTCTAATAAAGTTTATCTTTCACCCACTGGCAAGTAATTTGAAAATAAGCCCATTTTTATTCCAACACCACTTCCTAGGAAAGAGAGTGGTGGTAAAGAGCCTGGTAAGCTGTGTGTGTGTTTTTTTTTTTTTTTAAAGGGGCCTTCTTGAAGCACCCATTTGTGGCTATTCAGTGTGGCTAGGGAGCCACAAATTCACAACCCTTGTACATTGAATTGTTTTATTATCTACTGTTATCTAATGAATAAGTGTGTAATCAAATGTTGCTTGATATCTTACTTTAAACGTATACACCTCACTGATCTCTGTTAGCTTATTGAAGGTTATTTGTCTAATGTGACCCTTGGTGACAGCTGAAGTTACTTAGTTTCTTATAATCACAGACAACTGTGACACAGGAAAGCACCCAGTGTTTACTGGAACTATTACTAATGTTCAATGTCAGTTTCATGTTCTATTATTTGTGTTTCTAGCACTCCTAACAGCATTCTAGCACTCCTAACAGTTCAATATTGTCCTCAACACTGGCTTTATTACCATGCAACCAAACCATACATTATTATACATCATGTTTTGGACACACTGCCATCTAAGTCAAAGATACAGCACACAGTAGTATTGGCATGGAGAACAACGGTTGTGCAAGGACTGATTTGCTGTGCATGCTACTATCATACTGCCTTTAGGGCCGGATAAACATCAGATAGAATGTACATTTTATCTGACACCTTCCCTTTACCTGACAGATCCCTTTTGGTGCACATAGCCATAAAGGGGTTCTCTGCTATGAGAAGCTAATGGTTTAGGGACTTTTTTACATTAAAACATTTTAGTCTGATTTTTTTTTTTATTTTGTTTTTTTTACTCTGACTAAAATCTGGCTGGGCAACTTCCATTCTATGAGTGGGGCTGTGTAATTCTTTACTTAGCCCAATGTAAAGTTTTTATTTTACAAATTAACATTTAATACAGGGACTGACTCTAAAGCTGTCCATAGATGTATCGAAATTAGGCAATGACCGACCAAATTTCAATGCATATATCCCTGTTCCTACTTGACAGAAGTCGATGTAATAATCAACTTCTGTCTAACGGGGCTGTTGAAAATTTGTCATTCAATCCACCTTCAAAGCCAGCAATAGAAATGCTGCCTTAAAATTTTAATTTACAGGAATACAGTTCAAACAGTTTACTGTTTTCTATTCCTTTTCAGACCATCATGCAAAGTATTCTTTGCAGAAGATCCAATAAAGATTATACGTGCAAAGGGACAGTACATGTTTGATGAAAAAGGAGAAAGATACCTCGACTGCATAAATAATGTGGCTCATGGTAAGTTCATTAATTAAACATGAGGAAGAGTAAGTCAATATACACATATGTATAATAGATCGCATAACACAAATGTAAGAGGTTCTTTGTATGTTCCTATTGGATCATTGTGGTTTTTGGCAGAGCATGTCTATGAATAATGTATTCTTTCCTTCTAGTTGGGCATAGTCATCCAGAGGTGACAAAGGCTGCAGTGAAGCAGATGGAGGTATTAAACACAAACTCAAGGTTCTTACATGACAACCTTGTCCAGTTCGCTCAACGTCTGACTGCCACACTGCCTGAGAAGCTGTCAGTTTGCTACTTTGTTAATTCTGGGTATGTTTTTTCTCTTTCTCATTGATTATGTACCATTAAATTATGTTTTTTTTTATACATATTAAGGCTGTCAAAATAGAGTCAAATTGAACTGTTAAAAAAACACATTTAACATTAAAGTTTAGTTTTTCTTTTTTGTGATACAGCACCTTAGTTATGTGAAAAATGTTGTGTATCCCCTTACCTGCAGATGGTGGTTTCTGGTAAAAATCTGGTAAAAAAAACTGCTTCCTTCATAGCCACCAGATACTGAGCTGCATGGCTATCTTTAGCACTATGAAGGTTAACAGAAGCCACTGCCACTAAGAAAAGTTGCGCCAGTTGCCTGCACACTTCTGCCCTCTCCTCCATTCATATTACTTGTATTACTACTCACACACAATGTGTCGCATTCTGTGAATGAGTGATGGTCATTCAACTTCAACTCCTCCATTCACAGAACACAATGCATTGTGGGAGAATAGTAATAAGAGTTATATGAAAGGATGAAAGGAAGGGGGCAGGCAAGAAGCACAACTTTTTTCAGTAGCAGTGGCTGTTCTTAACCTACATAGCACCAGAAGACAGCCGTTCAGGGCAACACACGACAGCTATGAAAGGAGGTACTGCAGGAAACATTTTTACCAGAAACAGATGCCTGCAGGTGTTGGAATTTATGTCATTACAGATAATTAATGTGTTTTGTACTTTATCACTAAAAGCCTCCCTACACTTTAACTTCAATGGAGTTTAATAATACTTGATGATACTAGCTATATATAAGATGATAAACTCTGTAAAGCATAGTTGTCACACCTTTATCTTCATCATTTTCCAGATGGCACTAACAATGCTAACAAAGTAAAAAATATATTTCAGTTGTAAAGCTCTGCAGTGTCATGTAAAAAGATGCTACTACTTCTGCTCGTGTTGCCATTATGACTACTACAACAATTGGTACCAAACCAAAAATTCATGAGTTTAAATCATCCGTCAGTAAATATTTCATTTATTAAATAATAACCCTTCTCAAAAACATGACTGTTTCAGCTTAGGAATTTAAATGGAAACATAGGCCAAATCTTTAATAGGTGGTTTAAAATATTTTCAGGTCACAATAGCCCATTAGTATCTATTTATATGTAAAGAACAAAGGTGTGAACTTACAGCATTTAGCTTCCAGCAGTGAAGGGTCACTAATGATCAGTTGCTATGGGTTCATGTACACCTATGTGAGCATTGTATTATGTCTCTGAAATGGGGCAGTACAAACATAGCATGAGCAGTCACAATTCTAAGCATTAACCATAATAATATATGAGATACAGGCAAAGTTGGATACAAAGGTAAAGGCTTTCCTTGCATGCTAGAAAATGCAAGGAACATTGGTAAAGTTCACTGGCTGTGATCAAAAAGACTCTCAACATGCACTTTGTTACATACAGATTTCTGTAAGTGCAAACAACATTAACAAAAGCAATGCAAATACTTAAAATGTCACTAAAGCCAAGACCCTGCATTCACTATATTGTCTCCCACAGTACACAAAAATGCAATTATTTTAGTAAATACAAACTGCTAAATACCTTTTAGTTAGTAGTTTTGTGACTTCAATAAGTGCCCAGCCAAGCAATGGTTAAAGCTTGTAGAAAGAGTTTTCATTCTGCTGCTCTATGAGGTTGCATGACCCCTGACCCTCTGTCTGGACAATGCTGATTGGCCCTATGCTGATCACATGCACCCGACCTTAAAAAAAAAAAACCTCTCTAGCAATACACACCAAGCTGAGCATGTGCAGAGTGCCTCCTAGGGTTCAGTAATATCAGCATATGGATAGGGGACTGTGGAAGAAGGAGAGGATCAGAGAAGACAGGGTCAAACAGTCTTTTTACACAATGCGGAAGATTAACCCCTTAGTTTTCACGTTGAGTATAACAGGCAAGCTTTACTGCATATACAGACTGATTTTACTGTTGTGAGTTTAGAAACAGCTTAAGGCCTCATTTACATTTGCAATGATATACACGTATAGATGTGTTTATAGAGCATTTCTAAACACATATACTTTAAATGCATGTAATGATTTTAAATGGTATAATTCACACTATCTAGGGAATTCAATAAATCTCTACCGACACTTTTCTGGAACCCTTTAAAATGGCAGGCTCCAGATTCAACAATTCCTGCCGCCTGTTTTGGTAACTTTACTAACATGCGTGGCAGATTTAGGTCATTTTTAATAGCACCACTTCTACAAAGTGGTCCTATTAAAGTGTGAAATTCAAAAATAATTAGCTCCAGTTCATAGGTAACGAAGCTGGAGGTAATTAAGACCCACTCTAAGGGTACTAGCACATGGTACTGATGTATAAATATCAGATACTGTATTCCTAGCAGAAAAAAATGAAAAACAGCTGTGTAGCACTTGCACGTATTTGCATGTACATGCACATAAAAATTCTTCCAGCTTTTTTTTTTTTCAAGTATTTGCGTGTACATGCATAAAAATACTGATCAGCAACACATATTTTTTTAAATTTTTTTTTTACTCATCTATATGCAACGGATGTTTACGTATATATTAATTTTTGTATTTTTTTTTTTTTTTACCCATCTATACGCAAGAGATGTTTACTATTAAAAGCAATGGGCTGCATTTAGAGGAGTAAAGAAAAATTCCTAAATGCCTATAAACACGCTTTTTTCAGCTGTCCCATGTGCAAGCGGCCTAAATTTGCATTCAGAGAAAGGCAGAGTGCCTGTCTCTGTACAGAGTGTAGCAGAGGGGCATATATGCTGCTGCTACCCCTCCCTGTCGCTGATTGATAAGGATACTCTCAACTTCAGAGCTGACTGCCTCCTAGCAACCAGTGATGCTGCAGTGTGTGGAGCCTGATGGGGAAGATGAGACCATAGTTCCCCATCAGGTCCACTCTCTCCTTATAATTGATAGCAGGCATTTCGTGGATTCTATAGTCATCAGCAGGCTGTCTATTGTTTAAGGATTCGCCGACTGCCTGCTGTCAATTACAAGGGGGGGGAGAACTTGAAGGGTAACTAGTATCTGTGAATCCCCATCAAACTCCCGCCAAGACCATATAAAGACTCTGACCTCAGTGTTCCTCCACATTTGGTGCATGCCTTAGCTTCATGTACCTCTCTATAACAGGTACATAAATCTGTCGCCCCGTACTGATATTTGTCACATGGAATTCCAAAGAGTGTTTTAGACATCTTGATGGATTCCCATGTGTGTGTTTTTACCTGTGTTTAGTTGTGCTCACTTTAGCTGGATTTAGAGAAAATAGAATTCTTCATGCATGTAAACGCCTGTACATTTAAAGGCAGGTGCATGTAAACACACATACATTAAAACGCAGGAAAAAGTGATTTGGGAAGTAAAAAATCTATATTTTCCCAGAAAATTTCTGCTGCATTTAAATAAACCAAATGGAGAAGGCTAGTGTGAATGTAACATAAAAGTGCTACTTGCCAGCTGAGATCCAACTAATGAATGGACAAGACTCTTTGGTGAATTACATATACCACCACATATACCAGTGGTCAAATAGTAGACCGCCGCTCTATGTATGTTAAAGTAAGCATACCTTGACCAGTATCTGCTCCTGTTACTTAGATAACATGTAAAAGGAAATTTAATTAAGAGAAACAGAAAACAATGAAAAACCTGACATAGGCTTTGAATCTTATCCATGCTATCTAAAATAAAACCAAGATTTTGGCTGAAGTTTAATTTGCAAAATGACCAGTTATTGGTGCTCAGTGCCAAAACAGTTTGAAAAAGTACAGTTGGATACTTGTCAGTACTAAATACTCTGTATATTTACAATTTTTTATTTACTCTTGGAGTGCAGCAAGCTCTCTACTAACCCTCTCTAATCCTGCACATGTGCACATGGTTAACAGAGAGCAGGCTACAATCAGAAAAATTAATGTGTGTTTACATTGAACAGGTATAGATGATTGTAATAAATACACCAGGCTAAGGTGTCATATACTCCTTTAATAAATAAACCCCAGTGAACAGCATTAGGAACCAAAATGAAACTTTTTCATCAGGGCTGGGCATGCTATGACCATCATGTCCTATGGATCACATACTGTATATGAAATCATATGCTGCCATAATACAACTATTTTTAACATCTCAATTTATCATACAAAAATATGTACATTTCTGTTGCTTAGTGTTTGTCAAATACAGTAGGTGTAAAAGGTGTCAAAAACAGCTTACCATTTGCAATGCATACTGTAGATAAGAACAAAAAATGTGTTACGTATATAAATATCAGTTAAAATAACTTTGCAATAGTGGAATATCCATTGCATTACAAGGGTCATAATGTCTAATGTTTGCGAAATGCTACAGACGCAGTTTATTAAGAATAAAACATATATTGCAGTCACTGCAAAAAACAGTCAAGGCTCCCGGTAAATTTAGTCTGGTGAAATTCTGTTTCTCGTGATAGGAACACACTGAGATAGTGAATCAGTCACCAGTTGCAAAGGGCATCATGTCTAGGGAAGGAAAAACTCAATCAATCAGATTCTAAGAGGAAGGGTGTGCTTGTACAGTATTTGTTCTTCTATTATTCAGAGAGGAGTGTTAGAGGAGAAGACTAAAATGCCTGTAGATTATAGAATGTTTTTTTTTTTTTTTTTTGCCCATTGCCTATGGCCCTTTTCATACGGGCATCTCAATTGGGTCCGTCTGTCCGTTTTTTTCAGGCAGACCTGATCGGGACAAACAACAAAAGAGAAAAATGCCCAGCTCAATTTGCCAGCCAGCTTGCAAACAAACCAAATTAGCACACATTTGCAAATATATGCGTAAGCTGCAGAGCCTTGTCACGGCACCTCGATATTCTGTAGTCCTAACTCTACAAATTTTGAGAGCCCCCATATTAGAGGCACATTTAATGGATAGACCAAGGACAGGTGAACCTGAGGGAGCCCACCATTCCTTAAAGGTAAAGGAGCGCACCGGACACCCAGCATGTAGCACAATGGCAGGTAGGGTGCCAGGGAACTCGATCGAGACTCCCATTCTCCTCTATGGAGCGGCAGGTATAAATGGACATGTGTCCGTTTACACCCGCTTACACCTGATCTGCTAAAAACAGATGGATGGGGTCCAGCGTATCAGATCAGATGGCAGTCAGGTGTAAATGGACAGGTGGAAAGTTTACATCCGACAGTCCATAGAGGAGAGCGGGCTTTGTCTGTGTCTGTTATGCATAAGCAGAACGGACACAAATCTGTCATCCACCTGCTCAGCAGGAATCAGCAGACAGATCCTCTGCTGAGCACGTGGATCGCAGGCGGAGTCAGCCCTATGTGGAAGGGGCCTAATATGTGTATGTTCTAGGGCACCCAAACCCTTGACACATGCTCTGTGCTAATAAGAGTGAAAAATCAGTTAATAGTAGATATTTCTAGACTAAAAATATTTTTTCAAGGTGCAGGTATTACAAGTGCATTTCTAAATCTTGAAATCATTTTCTGTGCACCAAGAAGCCCCTAGATCCTGACTGCATACTGTACACTGGCTTTCGTTGACCTCTGTCTTGACTTAAAGCTTAGTGTTTCCCTCTGTGGGGCTAAGATTCATTCCCAAACATTTAAAAGTCCAATACAAAGAGTCCCAACTGGCTTTCACACCAGACTGCTAGGTGTCTGGGGTGGGCACCATAGAAGGCCTGCAGGAATAAGTGTAAGAATTTTCACTACTATTTCCTATAACAGTAGACTCCAAACTGCAGCCTGGTGGCAAGATGTGGCCTTTTGCTTGCTTTTATCCAGCACTTGGGGCACTATTTCATCCACTGATACCAACAATGGGGCATAATTCTCCCCCTCTGAGATGGCACAATTCCTCCCAATGACACCAACAATTGGGCCCAATGACACTAACGATGGAGCTGGATTCCTTCTAATAACAGAAATATTTGGGCCCAATGAAACCAATGATGGGGCAAAGTTTTTCTCAATGACACCAAAGATGGAGCATAAATACTCCCACTGACACTAAAGGTGGGGGATTTTGTTTTTTCTCGTTGATGTTGGGACCTTTTCTACTCCCAATAGCCACAGACTGGCCCTCCTAAAGTCTGAAGGACAGTAAACTGGCCCCCTGTTTAAGAAATTTGGAGACCCCTGTTCTATAAGTAGGAATACCAGTACATATACCTATTGCATTTTAAGGAAAATGTGTGATTTGCACAAGAAGGGCAAAGCAAGAGGTTTAGTTCAGTGCCAGGCAGCACATACCCATTTCTTTCATACCCACGCCACAACTTTTAGCAGCTGGGAGCAAGAAAAGAAGCATTGGGATGCTCTGAATTGCTGTTGATAGATCTTACACAGGACTGAGTAGTCTGTTCCCACCCAGAAAGGGCATTACTAGGGCAGCCAGCATTTTTAAAGGGAAAAATGGGAGTGAGTCATATGATTCTCCATATTTAGTTATTTCTTTGCACTTAAAGTATATCTAAGGCCAAAACTTTTTTCATTTTGGATAGAATAGGGGAGGGCAGAACTGGTGTCAGTTTGTTTTTGCCATTGTGTGTCACATTAGGAAGATTTCAATTCACTTACTGCCCTGTACATTTAACAGGAAGGAAAATGTCCTCTTAGACAGCTGTCATGGGCACATGAAATATTTCCTCTCTATTCCTGTTCAGGCCGCGACTCAAGATTTTGGATTTATTTACTTTCATTTCCAGTGACGTTGGTGATCAGGAAAATTAGAGAACGTGAATCTCCCTAGAATAGGGACAGAGACAGTAATATACACTTGACAATGGCTCTAACCCTTCACTATGATAATTAAGTCTTAAGAAAGGTTTTTGTGGTTAACTCTACTTTACAGTAAATTTGTCCTAGTGCCCTGCATGGGCAAAGCACAGGTTTGCATAAAGCCATAGTTGCATCCTAGAACTGCATTGTGAAAAAGGTACATATTGTTTGATATATCTACTGTATTATGACAGCCCAAGTTTCCCTATGATGTCATGTTCTCATGTACTGCAATTGTGTCCTAAGTGTCATATGTTTTTTTCCCTGTAGGTCAGAGGCAAATGACCTTGCACTTCGTTTGGCACGACAGTACTCTGGCCACTTTGACATAATAACCCTTGATCAGTAAGTTCTCGAACTCTGTTACTAAAGTACATTGACTCTTGAGTCTAAAATTCTTTTATAATACAAACTATATTTTAAATATAACATTTGAATATAAGTTTCAATAACTATATTTTAGGCAAGATGTGGTAAATTTGAACTTGTTTTGAATTATTTGATATATTTGCATAGTTTTATTTAATTTAAAATAAGTAAATAATATAATAAGTTAAAAACCTATAATAATCTATTATCTGTATAGAAGAAAGCTGTAAGTAGTAAAAAAAGAATACATGCTAATATTTGTATAGTTCTTTAAAAAAAGATAAAGCACCAAACAGACATTATTTTATCATGGGCATTTGTTATTTACCATATTTTATTACATACTTTATGTGTCCCAATATGAGAATATTTATGTAACAATGGATTTTCTGAGACCTTATGTCATACACTACTACTTTAAAATAAATTGGCCATGGCAAACAATATAACATTGGTTTACAAAGTTAGAGAAACAATAAAACATTGGTCATAACTGGAAATTTTTGTCATAAGCATACAAATGATTGTTTTTAGACTAATTCAATCACAACATCCTAATCATACACCATTGTGATATATGCCTGTGTTGTCATTTTATACTTTAGCGCTTACCATGGTCATGTGACATCTTTGATCGACATTAGTCCATATAAATTTCATCAACTTGGAAAGGAAGCCAAGAAAGAATATGTTCATGTGGTAAGCACTCTTTATTCCTTAACAATCTTTTAGTTGATATCATTGGTATATTACCAGTTTTTTAATACATTAGTAGGCTGTTATCATTGTTGGGTATTCTATCAAGTTTTATAAGTGTAACTCATATTTTAAATATCGGCATGAGATCATGTAAATGTAAATGTAATATGAATATAAAGAACCCTTTTAAATTCAAAATGTTTGGGACCTTGTAGTAAAATGGAAGGTCCATTCAAATAACCCGGGCTCCCTGCCCCTTTACTCATCACCTACTCTTAAGCTGGCCATACACTACTACAGTTGTCTCCAAATTGCAGCCTGGGGGCTGGATGCAGCCTTTGCTTTTCTTTATCCAGCCCTTGAGGCATTATTTCTGCCACTGACACCAACATTGGGACCCTATTCCTCCCACTGACACATACGATGGGACACTATTCCTCCCACTGACACCAATGATGGGGCATTATTCCTCCAAGTGACATCAACGATGCGGAAGAAAACCTTCCACTGACACCAATGATAAGGCACTATTCCTCCCACTGACACCAATGATAAGGAACTATTCCTCTTACTGACACCAGCTATTTCTGCCCCTAAGACCAAAGATGGGGCATTGTTTACTCCCATTGGGCACAGCCAGCCCCCCTAAAGCCTGAAGGAAAGTAAACTGTCCCTTTGTTTAAAAAGTCTGGAGACCCCTGCACAAGTAGAATTTCGTCAAATCATAAGTCCAGAAAAAAATATATATATGCCAATACCAAGAAGAAAAAAAAAAAAAAAAAATTAAAAAAAAATATAAAAACTTTTAAGTGCAAAAAACTTTTGTGCAAAAAAAGTGTCTAAATATGAGAAATTTCACCAAAAAACCTTGATAATATAATGGCAGATCATCCATAAATATATCTTCAGAAACGGAAACTCTGCAACACACCGATCCTCATCGATCGAAATAACAGGATGAAAAACTTTGTAGTTAATCGAAAATCCACTTCTCCAATAGAAAAAGGACCACCTTCAAACGTATCCATGGGGGGAAATGCCAAGCACTCGAGAGAAACAGAAAGACTTCATGGTGCAATATTATAAAAACCAATTCCTTTATTAGGTACTCATTGCACTTACTCAAGAGGTGTCCCAGCCGACACCAGCATCAACAGCATAACAGCAATCACATAAACGAGCCTGGCTACTCAGCACATGGGCGGAGCTTGATTGATGTGACGTCATTACGTTTTTGGCTGCCAGCTACTGCGCATGTGCTGAGTAGCCAGGCTCGTTTATGTGATTGCTGTTATGCTGTTGATGCTGGTGTCGGCTGGGACACCTCTTGAGTAAGTGCAATGAGTACCTAATAAAGGAATTGGTTTTTATAATATTGCACCATGAAGTCTTTCTGTTTCTCTCGAGTGCTTGGCATTTCCCCCCATGGATACGTTTGAAGGTGGTCCTTTTTCTTTTGGAGAAGTGGATTTTCGATTAACTACAAAGTTTTTCATCCTGTTATTTCGATCGATGAGGATCGGTGTGTTGCAGAGTTTCCGTTTCTGAAGATATATTTATGGATGATCTGCCATTATATTATCAAGGTTTTTTGGTGAAATTTCTCATATTTAGACACTTTTTTTGCACAAAAGTTTTTTGCACTTAAAAGTTTTTATATATTTTTTTTTTTTTTTTAATTTTTTTATTTTTTTTTTTTTTTTTTTTTGGTATTGGCATATATATATTTTTTTCTGGACTTATGATTTGATGATTTCTTTTTATACACATTTACTAGCGCAAATTATTTATTTATTGGTACACTTTATATATGGTGATTTTTTGCAGCTGGTACACTATTAGTAAGTTATATAATTTTGACCATAGGCGCTATTATTAACCTCTTGCCGACCGCACATAGCCGAATGACGGCTTCACCGCGGCCGGCCAGTTCTGGGTGGACGTCATATGACGTCCTCCCAGAACGCGCTCTCCTGCGCGCCCCAGGGGGCGCGCACCCGGAGATCTCCGTGATCGCTGTGTCCTACGGACACAGCTGATCACGTGATGTGGTAAAAGGCCAATCACAGCGGCCTTTTACCACCTGATCAGCGGTGTCCAATGACACGCTGATCAGAGGGAAATGCAAGTGCCGGTTCTCGGCTGCACTTTCCTCACACTGTCAGATCGTGAGGAAAGTACTGCCGAGAACCGGCAGTTGTCAGAGCGGGGATCGGCACCGATCATCAGGGCACTGATGATCAGTGCCCTGATGATCGGTGCCCAGAAGTGCCACCCGCAAGTTCCGCCCAGCAGTGCGCCCACTAGCTCCGCCCACCCATGCCCAGCAGTGCACCCACCTGTGTCCAGCAGTGCACCCACCTGTGCCCAGCAGTGCACCCACCTGTGCCACTCTGCAGTGCCACCTACCTGTGCCCAGAAGTGCCACCTACATGTGCCCAGCAGTGCTACCCACCTGTGCCCACCCACCTGTGCCCACCAGTGCCACCCACCTGTGCCCACCCACCAGTGCCGCCCACAGTGCCACCCACCAGTGCAGCCCAGCAGTGCTGCCAGTCAGTGCCACCAGTCAGTGCCCAGGAGTTGTGCCAGTCAGTGCCGCCAGTCAGTGCCCAGCAGTGATGCCAGTCAGTGCCGTCTATCAGTACCCATCATCAGTGTCACCTATCAGTGCCGCCTATCAGTGCTGCATATTAGTGCCGCCTATCCGTGACACCTCATTAGTGCTGTCTATCAGTGCCGCCTATCCGTGACACCTCATTAGTACTGCCTATCAGTGCCCTTTAGTGCTGCCTATCAGTGCCCATCAGTGCCGCCTATCAGTGCCCATCAGTGCTGCCTCATCAACGCACATCAGTGAAGGAGAAAAAATGCCTGTTTGAAAAATTTTATAATAGAAACAAAGAAACTTTTTTTTTTTTCAAATTTTTTGCACTTTTTTATTTATAGAGCAAAAAGTAAAGTGCCCAGTGGCGATTAAATACCACCAAAAGAAAGCTCTATTTGTGAGAAAAAAATGATCAAAATTTTATATGGGTACAATGTTGCATGACCGCGCAATTGTCAATCAAAGTGCGGCAGCGCTGAAAGCTGAAAATTGGCCTGGTAAGGAAGGGGGTATAAGTGCCTAGTAGGCAAGTGGTTAATTTTTCTTACAAGTAGAATTTCAGTTGAAATCTTTTCTTTTATGAATGTTTGTTTGATTTTCTAATCACCAATCACAAAAGGGGAATACAAGTTCCACTTGCCTACAAATGTAATATATAAGGGTGAGTAAATAATTATCGGCACTCCGGTTATATTAAAACTTCTCTTGGCCGTGTTGTCTTAGTGCTTTCCGTTCAAGGCTACTGTCTCCCCAGTCACTGCTATGCAGGTTTGAATGTGTTACATCAGTTAATTTGTGATTGCGGTGCAAGAAAAAATGAATGTTTCCTCCTTGTGATTTGGCCAAAAGAAGAGGAGCTTGCAGTTGTTAGTTTTTTGTGGTCTGAGGAAGTATCTGGTGCCATTATTTACCGAAGACTTTGAGTGCAGTATGGAGAAAGTGTTTTGTTGTGAAAAAAGTATGCATGAATGGATAGAGAAAGTCACACAAGTGTTAGCCATCAAGGAGCCGGGAGCCCGTCCATGACAACAGTGAGCATACATGCAGGGGCGGACTGACCATTTGGAAACTCGGGCACTGCCCAAGGGCCCGGGGTCAGTAGGGGGCCCCATGAGATGCCCCTGGTACCTTTTTCATAGGCTTTTTTGAGTTTGGGCAAGGACACAGGGGCCCCATGATCCCCTATTGCCCGGGGGCCCCATGAGTTGTCAGTCCGCCCCTGCATACATGTGAAATTATTCTGTTGAATAGACGAGTGACAGTGGATTATGTGGCAAGTCATTTGCAAATCAGCCATGGCTCTGCCTATGAAATAATCCTGATGAAGAAGTGAATATAGCAGTTCATCCATGGCTTGCAGCTCAGCCTAAAAATTTTTTTATGAGGGAATACAAAAGCTTGTTGACAGATGGACAAAGTGTATTGAAAAAAAGGCCTTTTTTCTCGAAAAATAATGTATTTTTCTTTTCTAAAAATTTAAAAAATACTGTAAATTCAACATGAGGATAATTTTTGACTCACCTTCATATTTTACTATTTACTAAAGCTAGTTGCATAAGGATTAAAAATAGTTCATGTTGATTGAGGGAGTTTAGTTCCACTTTAGGCAGATTTCTATGTATATTTGTCTTTCAACGCTTTCAATAAAATAATATTTGTATACTGCAGGCTCCATCACCTGATACCTACCGTGGAATGTACAGGGAAGATCATCCAGACCCTGGAGCTGCATATGCTGAGGAAGTCAATAACATCATCAAAGAAGCTCACCAAAATAATCGCCAGGTTAGTTGTAAGAACTATCAGTTTGCTAAAATACGTCATGTTCCTTTAAAGTACAACTAAAGGCTCCTGTGTGTACAATGTGACGCACAAACCCCATAAAGTAAACAAAAACTTCCTTTACATTCTTTGAATGAACCAAATCCTCCTTCATTTGTGTGTCTCACATGCTCCCCCTCTCAGTCACTGCAGTTTACAATGGGAGGGTTTCAGCATCAGAGACAGTGCTGTCAGTTTGGAAAGCAGTGGGCATGGCTAAGTATAGCCAGGTGCTGACTGACAATCTACAAGCCTTTAAATCCGCAGTTACAATGCTGATAGGCACATCCCTGGCAACGCTGCTCTTAATTCAGGAGCAGTGCAGAATTATTGCCACATCATCACAGGTAGCTACATTAGACAAATTTCACTGGCATGGAAAACTGTTTGTGAGACTTTGCAAGAGGACTAAGAGAAAACTGTATGTGCAGATGCACCTTTAATTGTGTGTTGCAGAACATTTTTGTATGGGAGACCATAGTGCTCTCTTAATATAAAGTTATATGTATAAGGCATACAGTATATTGTTGTTGACATTGAGGATACTATTTTTAAAGTGGTTGAAAAAAAAATAGGACATCAACATTGTAAAGGACTAGTTAAATGCCATGCAGATTCTAAACTATTGCATGCTTGTACTCCAGTGTGTGTTACGATACTGACTATATTATCTGTGGTGTGCAAACGTTCCCGTGGTGGTGGTTTGTATCGTAAATGCAGTATATGGGCAGAAAAACTGGAATTTGGAAGTGGCCGTGTATGTACATATTGCTGTTAAAGTTTCCATCCCTAAATACTGCCTTACACACAAATCATTCAGTTGTTCAGTCCACAGGCTGATGGAAGAAAATCAAAGGATTCCCCATTCTATGCAAACAGTTGGATGAAGGAATCTCCATTGATGGCTATTGTGTTCAGTTGTTTTCAGGCAGTCTGCATCTGATAGGATGCGGTCACTATTTGAATGTTAATTTTACACCCAGCAGTAGATTTGTTTTAATTCATTGCCTGTGATCTTCAGTTTCATCCAAGAGCCATGATGTAGTATTTTTCTGAACCAGTCTGATTTTTATGAATGAATAACTGTTGACCTGTAGAGAATCAAACCTGAGCACATTCCATTTTGCCCTATTTTCACACAACAAATGTCTGTACTAGCAGTTTCACTGGATAAATAGCTATCCAAATTTTATAAGTACACCCCTAAGAGTCTCATGTACTCAAAGCAGCATTTTCTGCACAACCAAAAATTCACACTTTCTTTGGGTACTTACTGCAGAAGGAGACAAGGCTGGGGATTGAGCACTGATGTCATATGTTGTTTGAATTGTTGTGTAAATGTTCTGCGCTCTCTTTCCTGCCATTCAATGCCAAGAATCTCTTTGCTGCTGCTCCTGCACTGTGAAGATCCAAATTGTAATCTTATCTTTGGGCAATGTCTGCTGCATGCCTGTGTGTTTGACTTTTGTCACCTTTGGCCATCTGATCCCCACCTGCCATCAGCGGTTTCTGTGAGCACCTGAAGCCTTCATTCATACCCTGACCTTTACATTGCCTTACCACCACACAGTCCTAATATGTCTAATTCTAGGCACACTCATATTCTACTAATGACACCAGTGTTGCTTGCAGCTTGCCCATTGATGTGACCAACATCTGTAGTTTGGAATTAAGTTGTCCTGTGCTCCTAGAGTCTATCCCATCTTTGGAGTCTTCACTAGCTAGACTGAGTTTGCTTGGCTCCTCTGCCTTTTTCACAGGAGGATTTTGCTTCAGTCATAGATGACTTTATGGCCCAAAAAACCCAGTTATTTGCTAACTCTAAACACAGAGGCCACAAGCATGCTCCTTAGTCTTCCCCTGCAGATTTTGCATAATAATTTTGGACCCTTATTGAAACAGTGAGTACCACTCTGAAAGGAAACGATTTGTGGCAAGAGCACACATCTACCCCAGCCAATAAAGTCAAAGGCACAGTCTGGGGAAGTTCATAGGGAGTTAAGAAACATGCTTTTTGTTGCTCTTTTTTGTTATACTACTTCTGCAACTTTTGCTTCCAAATCCAAGCATGTTTTCCAGTTTACTTAAAAGGTCTGGAACTCAAAGTTCCTCAAACTCTATGACAGCGCAAGTCCATGAGTTGTCCAATTCTCTGTATTTCCATGAGACTCCTAGGTCTGATAGTAGCCTTTTTCAAGGCAATCCCATATGCCCAGTTTAACTCCAGGTCCATATACCACAATATTCTGTTGTGAGACAAATCAGTCCAGTTTCTATACAGACCAATTCTATTGGTACCGAGGACCAGAGTGTCCATGGTTTGTTGGCTCCAGAATTTAGCTCTGAAATCAAGCAAGTCCTTCCTTTCCATCTTTTGAAAAATGATCACAATGGGTGTCAGCCTAGTTGGCTGTCCCTATAGCTTTGGATTATCTGGCTAGAGGGTTATCTAATTCGGTCAGACAATACCATGGCACTTGCATATATTATCCATCAGGGAAGAGCCAGAAGTCCCACCACAGCAGGAAAGGTCTGCTATTTACATCCTGGAAAAAGACAGTTGGCAAGCAACATTTCTCAACCAGCAGCGTTTGAGCCTAGAGGAGTGGTCCCTACATCTGGAGGTGTTCCCGGACCTGTGTTTCAACAACAAACTGAAATGATTTGTTTCTAGGCAAAGGGATCCTCTAGCAGAAGCACTGACAGCTGAAGACCATTCTGGTGAACCACATAGCTCTGGACTGGCCAAAGTGATTGTGGTACTTCGACCTAATAAGACTCTTTGCAGCAGGCACTTCTAGATCATCAAGATATTCTGTCTCAAAGACCGATTTACCACCCTGCTTTATGACCACTGGCTTTAACAACATGCTGTTGAAGCCTAAGTACTGAGAAACGGGAATATTTGAATGGTTCCCACAATGTTCAAAGCTAGAATGTCCACTTCTTTCACAGTCTACCATTGCATTTGGAAGGCATATTTCACTATTTGTGAGTCTCGGGGCTTTCACCCTAGGGATTATCGGTGGGGCGAATGCTTTCCTTCCTACAGCTAGGTCTGGACTAGAGAGAAACTCTCCATTTGGTCCAAAAACAGGTTTTTGGACAGGTGTTCAAATGTGTACAATTTTTTATGGAATTTTAGAGCAATGAGTAGGGGTATAGATAGAGATGAGCGAATCGAACCTGGCGAAGTGGAATTCGTTTCGAATATCAGGAAAAATTGTCATTTATCATGATTCGCATCGAATCCGAATTTTAGCAAACTTCGGGTGCACGAATCGTATTTTTCCCGATCAGCAAACTTCGGCAAAAGTGTCACTGCAGAGAGCTCCGCTATTTCTGACAGTTCTGACAGTTCATTTACAGCGGTTGAAACATTGTATCTATTTGTTTCCATTTAGGATACAGATGTTTTTATTCGGAAATAAATAGATACAATGTTTCAACCGCTGTAAATGTGAAGGAACTGTCAGAGAACTGTCAGAAATAGCGGAGCTCTCTGCAGATACACTTTTTGCTGTACTGGAATTCTTCTTCTTTTCATTCTTCTTCTTCTTTTCATTCTTCTTCTTCTTCTTCTTCTTCTTCTTCTTCTTTTCATTCTTCTTCTTTTTCATTCTTCTTCATTCTTCTTTTCTTCTTTTCTTCTTCTTCTTTTCATTCTTCTTCTTCTTTCTTCTTTTCATTCTTCTTTTCATTCTTCTTCTTCTTCTTTTCATTCTTCTTTTCATTCTTCTTCTTCTTCTTTTCTTCTTCTTCTTCTTCTTCTTTTCATTCTTCTTTTCATTCTTCTTCTTCTTCTTTTCTTCTTTTCTTCTTTTCATTCTTCTTCTTCTTTTCTTCTTCTTCTTCTTTTCATTCTTCTTCTTCATTCTTCTTCTTCTTCATTCTTCTTCTTCTTCTTCTTCATTCTTCTTCTTCTTCTTCTTCTTTCTTTTCATTCTTCTTTTCATTCTTCTTTTCATTCTTCTTTTCATTCTTCTTTTCTTTCATTCTTCTTCTTTTCATTCTTCTTCTTTTCATTCTTCTTTTCATTCTTCTTCTCATTCTTCTTTTCATTCTTCTTCTTTTCATTCATTCTTTTCATTCATTCTTCTTCTTCTTTTCATTCTTCTTCTTCTTCTTTTCATTCTTCTTTTCATTCTTCTTCTTCTTCTTCTTCGTCGTGCCCCGTGACTGCCCAAATGAGTGAAGTGTGCGGTGATTCTAAGATCGACGGCACTCATCTGCATGTCATACTGACTGACAGTATTATTTCTCATCCCCAGCAGACTCCAAGGGCATTTAAATTAAAGGTACAGTGTTCTGCACTAATATAAAGGCTCTCTGAAGCCTAGAAACCCTTTTAATAAGTTAAATTCGCGGCGAATAAATTCGCATCGGATTTAATTTCTCCCGCAAATTCGGCGAATCAGCCGAATCGAATTTTTGAATAATTCGCTCATCTCTAGGTATAGACGTTTGGAACAAGAGACAGGCTTTGGAGGTATAAAAACAAAATACCACGGATGCCATGAGAAGGGCAAAGAAGCAGCTCATGGGTGTGGTCACATTATATTAACAGTGTGTGAGGCTTAAAAGGCTAAGGTTATAAAGAAACCTTAACCTATGCGGCTATGGGTCAAGAGTGGGTGAAACATAGAGTGCAAGGGCAAGGGTTAACTAACACACAGAGTTCAGGGGTCAGGATTAAGTAAGCAACAGAGTTCAGAGGTCATGAGTTTTTGATTCTAAGAGTGCACCTTGTGTCTTTCATCCCCAGACCAGTGTGCAGAATCATTCTGAGAGCAAGGTAGATTGTAATTCATTACAGTGTATGGGGCCCAATTGATTACACTGCACAAGCATTAGTTATAAAGTGGCTGTGCTGCAGTAGTGCCTGTCAAAAAATGGCACTGTTGGAGCATTCTACATGGCCGTAGCAGTATTAATGGCCATGTGCAGAGCGGTCTTCTGATGCC